TTTTTTTTTTTTTTTCCCCATCGTCCGCCTTTCTTCCGCGTTTACGGACGCGAAGCACGTTTTTAATCGCTCACCACGGCCATTGTCGAATTTCGACGTGTTTTACGACCCTTTTTACGCTTCTTTCTCCTCCTACTAAGCTTTGTCCCATTTTCCGCGAGACGAAAAGAAATCGAAGATTCGGCCATTGTTTCGTACGTAATGTCTCCGAGATAAGTACGTATTATATATATATATATGTATATAACTGTCTCCTTTTAATAACTGCCTAATTTTCTTCTTTCTTAAAAATTTTTTTTAAATGTAATTCATACAATTTCATTTATTGTTCATATATATATATATATATTTAATTCTTTTATTAAACGTATCCAATTAATCATATTTCTTTGTTTAAAGAATGAGAGAAAATTTTAACGAGAGTATCGATTTCGATTTACAATTGTCAATAATTGCTGAATAATTTGTTGAAGTTGTATGTACAATTTTAGAGAGTGAATTTGTATTTATTTTATTCCATTCAAGCATAATTTTCTCTTCGACTGTAAGAATTTGATTCTTTTGCAAAAATTACTGAATTTGAGTTTGTCTTTGACCACAAAACAACGAATAATCGTCGTTGATTGACGGAGCACGACACGCTTTGAAAAGCAATGGGAGCAATAATCGCGTTTTCTCTTTCGAAGTTCGACGCTGTGAAACGAGATGTTATTCGTCTTTGAATAATTTTCAAAACACGTGTATTTGTCGGATTTCGAATTCTTTTTCGTTATTCGCTTTTGTCAGGCGGAAATAAACAAAGATTGTGGCCCATTAAAACAAACTAGCTGTTCGGAAAATACGATTGCCACCCATTCTTTCGCATTGCTTTTGAATTATTCGAAACGCATCGAAACGAATGAAAAGCTGTTTTCATCCCTCACCGCACTACACGTTTGGGAATATCAATATATCGTGTTCGATTTTACAAATCCGCAAGAGATACAAGTCAAGTATACGTCGTATGAATATATGGTAATCGGAAGTAATCATTTTATAATATTATTATTGTATCATCTATACGATTGAAAAATCAAAAGAAATATTTGATTATTGGTTATCTTTCTATTTTTCATACAGATTTATTCCTCTGAAAAAATTCCTCTGATATTATTATTTTCTAGAATATATGAGTCCTATTTTTACGCTTTCAACAATATTTCACGTTCTAGTGCCAGAATTCGCTATTCTATCTCTTTTAAACGATTCTCATTTAATTTGTAAAATTAATTCGACATAGTTTTTAATGAAAAAATTCTTCTCTTTTCATTTGATTATTCTATTATATTATATTAGAAATGTAATATTAGAAAATATTACAACTTTTTAATTATATTCGAATATTATTTGATTCACAGAAAATATTTTTAATATAAAATTCGTATATATTAAATTTCAATTTCGCATCGTTTATTTCATGCGATTATATACGAAAATGAAAATAAAAATATTTTTACACGCGTTTCGGAGATCTTTCAATATCGAATCTTCATTTTCACGGTGAAATAGAAAAACAAGCGGATCGATTCAATAACGAACGAAACCTTCGAAACATTGATTGATTGCTCTGTATCGGTAAATACAATACACCTCGACGAGTCTTTACTTCTTTTACGTCGTTATGAAAGTAATAGCCTGGCAATTTTTCAATGTAATCGTTGACCTCCTCGCCACAGTGTCATTATTTCTTCGACTTAACGGAACGATGTCGCATTTTAGATCGCGATTCAGGGGCGGACTATCGAGTTTTTCCACGGCTCCCTAATTATTTCCATGCGTTTTTACGTAATACAAATGGAAGATTCTATTTGACCAATTTCAGGATCATAAAATTAGGAATATTGGAATAATGGAATAACATAATAAAATAGAAAATAATGGAATAAAATAATAGTAGAAATAATATATAAATATAAAAAAAAATAATATAAAAATAATATAAAATAATAATAGAAAATATTGGAATAAAATGCAAAAATAAATGGAAATGTAGTCTTTGGTTATTCGAAGATTTACGAGCAATAATCATTGAAAATTTGAAAATCGAGAAATAAGGATTTTCTATTCTATTTTCTATTCTATTTCCTTTCGAAAAATGTAAAAGCTTTTGGAATTGGAAGATACGATTTGACTAATTTAATTCAGTATCGTAAAATTTGGGAAAATATTGGAATAAAATGCAAAAGTAAATGGGAATGTAGTTTTTGATTATTTGAAAATCGAAAAATGTAAAAGATTTTCGAATTTTTTTTTTTTTGCATCATTGTTTTGAATTTTATTTATTATTATATATATTTACAGTGTCCATCATCATCATTTTATTATGCCGCATCGAATCTTTCCACATTGTCTTCGATACTCAATGAGAATTGACTATCTGTCAATTAATTCTTTCTATTTTTTTTTTTTAATATTGTAAATTTTTGATGCCTCTCGATTATACATATAATCAGCACAGAATGGAAAATGAACAATAATTAATATAATTAGCATAATAGAATAAAACGTAACGAAACTTACAGCTCGATTTGACAATTTTTCCGTTCGAATTGATTATTCATAAATATTGGAACTCAATCGATTGGATAATATTTTTAGATGGATCTAAAAATAATTTGAACGATAATTATTTGAAAATTCAGTATACACGATTCGAGGATTTCCTCGCCGATATTCAATTTATTCAAATTCCATTCGAACTTTTTGGTTCGTTAGCGTTGCCGGACGAAAGAAAGAAGCAGAATCTGCAGGAAACTCGAACCTCTTTTTCACCGAAACTTGGCCAACGAAATTCTATTTCAATTACCGCGTTTCAAAGGATAATCCTTCCGCGGACGAATTTCGAGGGAACCGTGACGACGTTCGTTTACGTCTCGATTTATTCAACCCAGCAACTCGAGATCTTCGTTCGTTAAGAAAGATCGAGGCAAGAAGCAAGTTTCGAAAGGTGAAAATCCGTGCAAAAATAATTAAAAAACACGATATCTTTTTATATATCTTACAATTAATTTAAATTCATCGAAGAATATTTAACAATCGAAAAATCCAAGGAAATAATACGATTTCTTATTTCATATTCAATTTATCATCGAATTATTATGAAATAAATTTTTAAAATTTCAAACGATGATTTAAAATCGTATTAACATACTTTTACGTCACATCTATTTAATAGAAAGTTACGCGAGATGTCGCGCAACGGAATTTGACATCGCATCGTGTCACAAAATATATGTCTATAATGCATCGAGATCCATCGAAGCTTTACTCAAATCGACACATATTATATATTATATAGTTACATAAGTACTCTTCCTAATCGACGAGTCTGAATTATTTAACTCTCTCATTACCGATTGCCGATTATAATCGGTAAAAAGATTCTACTTTACCTGTAGAGAATATCTCTATTGACCCGATTGAATCAATTTTACCAAAAGTATATCTTGAACGCACGTAATATATTCTGGACGTTAAAAGTATATCGTAAAGTATATTGTATTTGTACAAAAGTATATTATAATAAAAAATCTTTCTTAAACAAGTTAGAAGAAATGTACTTATTTTCACGCTTCTCATATAAAATACGACGAAACAGTTGTTGCGTAACATTTAAAAAAGTGTGATAGATAAAAGAGAATGGCAAGGTGGATACGTAAGTGCGAAGACTATCCACGTGCAGTGCGCGCATACTTTTCGACGCGGTTCAGTGGCATTGCTCCGGCGGAGCGAATTGCCGTAACGAAAGTGTAGTAAAGCGGTGTTCAAAGCCTCGATTCTCCGTATGTATACGTAGCGTAGTAGTAATGTGCGCGTCACTGGAAAGAAGGACGGAGAAAAGAAGTGCGGGAGAAGGAAAAGGAGCGAAGGATGATGAAGGAAGGGATGGGCGATAATGGTCGAAAGGAATTTCTCTCGCGGGAAAAAGCTCTCTCTGCGTCTGGAAACTTTTTTCCAGCGAAGTGAAATTCGAGAGAGGACGCGCGCGCGTATGGATTCGTTCGTGGAGAGAGAGTTTGGAAAATATTTATCAGATGTATTATGTACGTTTATATGATAAATAATTTATTTAGGAAATGTGAGATACGTGAAGGTGAAAAATATGATGTATCTGGTTTATTTGAAGGTTGAATAGGTATTGGTTGTATTTATATGTGTCTTGTTTAAATTTTGGAGGATTTTTAATGATTTTCTTTAATTTCTTTTTTCTTTCTATTGTTTCAGGCTCGACCAGCCGGTGACCAGCTCGACGTCCGGAATGGACAGCAAAAAGGTTCGGATAAAATATTTTATACTTTTATATAATAATTCGTAAATAATTCGATCGCTGCTAAGTTGTCGAATGGATTTCGTTTTTATCTCTATATCCCGTCGAATAATGTTTTTGATCTTCCATCGAATTTGTTTCTACCTCTAGCGTTTCATCCACTATATGGCATATTTCAATTCCATAAATCCATAGACTATAAATCATGGAAGGATATATAGAATAGTTCGCGTAATGGATTACGAAACTATGAGGAAAGATCATGGTGTATAGAATACATAGCGTACATTTCGCATTCAATACTCTATACCTTTCTGCAGTTTAATACATATTTTATATGTATATTGTTTTAATGATAAAAAAGATGATATATTAACCGAATGCTAGAATAAAATTGGAAAATTAACGATACCAAAAATTTTAAAAGACTTTAAATCAAAAACATAAATAAACCATACCAAACCAAGTGCAAGCACGAATTAAAGCATTTAAATATTAAAAACGATCAAATTATTTCTATCATTAAAAGAAATACAAAGATAATCGCAATTAATTTAAAATTAAAAATTAATTAAAAATTCTAGATATTCAAAGATACAATCAACTCGATTGAACTTTAAACTAAACAAAGTGTTAAAACAATTTAATAATATCAAAAATTATCTTCGATTCAAAAACGATATTGAAATAAATACGAATTACTGCTGGATTATCTTTGTTAAAATGCTTCAATATACTAAGAAACATAAGAATACACGAATCTATTCATAATAAATGGAATATTTATACATTATAAAATTGTAGAACTTGAAGTGAATTTCTTTAATTATCGCAATGCTTAATGCTTTATTTTCTCTCTTTTTATACATACATTCTATGGAAATTGTTTTGTGTATTTCAACCTTGCACAAATGTATAAACATACTCCATCATATAATAATTCAACGAAAGCGAAACCAAAGATAAGTGTACTGTTCACTGGTGGAAAAAAAGTCTCGCGGGACGGCACAGGGGCAAGAGGGGTCCTTCGCTAGGACCATTTATCCCCACTTCACACGCTTTGTTGATGATTCTGACACCACACGCTACATAAAAGAATTCAAGAAATATTTTCGAAACTATTTATTTCGATACAATATTAATATATCTATTCATATAATTATTATCTTAACTCATATACAAAATTACATTTATAAATTAAAACTATCATTAAAAATCGTAATACTAACCTATGCATTACAAGAAATAAAAATAATTTTATATTATGGAATATTCTGGATTCCATGTCTATAATACATCGAGGTTTAGATCGTTGATTTATTAATTTTATTAATAATATGTGATAAATAGAAACAAATAGAAAACAGGCGTTTCCTCCGCATTAACCAATCAGAGACCCGCGTTCCTTTCCACCAATGAAAACGTGCATTAACGAGTTAAAAAAAGTACAAACGACAGTTGAATCAATTTCAAGAAGAAAAGTTAAAAATTGAAAGAACCGGTTGAAGATCTCGTCTTGAAGGAATATCGATACGCGTCATAAGAGTTTATGGCGAGTTGCAAAGCGTTTTTCGTGACACTTGGGTTGCGCGCGCTGCCATTGGTGGAGGGGTTAACGATGTCGTTTGAAGTTAACACGATTAAATCGACGATGCGATAACCAGCCGAAACTAATGCGGGGATCTCGCTGAATTCAACCGGGAACTTTAAATGTTTCCAGTTACATCGTTTGCTCCTTTAATTACTCGACTTGGGGCGCCCTTTGATAAACTGGCTCCCGGTCACCCTTTCCCCTCCCCGATTTAATCAGACCCATTATCAGCGCTCCTCCTTATCGATCCGCCACCGAGATTAGTTTTTAGATAAGAAATACGTGGATCGAAATAAAATTAAAAATAGGAAACGCAATGTTTCGGATATTTAGATTTCACCTAACGCAACACGCGTATATTCGAATTTGGAAATTGATTATCGTGTGAAAATGAAATTCGTGGATGGAATTTCTTTTTTAGAAAAATAAGAATTGGCCAAGTATCAGTTTCGAAGATGGAACAATGAAATTCACGTAAGGGAATCTATAAAAAAAGAATGTAGAATTAAATTAATTTTACTTAAACAAACATATTCAATTTATTTAAAATTTTTAAAATTTCGTTCTCCATTTCCTTTCGAATCTTAAAACGATTTCTTTTGTATACCCGTCACTTAATACAGGCACAAATGGAGGAAAAAAAAAAGAACTTTCTCCCCAATTATCCTCTAGCAAAATAGCTGGTGACAGTTTGCTGTTCGGTTTGCTCCTCGGCAAGTCGTTATCTTAAAAACCAGACGAAAAACATTGTGGTAATTTCATGACTCCGAGCTACTCCCCCCTCCTTCCGAACTCTCCATTTCTGCCTCACGGACGACAGTTGCGGAGGAAAAAAACTCACCTTTACAAAACTTAACTTCTCTCCTATTCTCTGCTCGACGATGTTCTAAACCCAATTCCCATTCCTCGATTCGTTGAAGCCTGACAGAAACACAATCGTGGAAACGATCGAAATTTTACATTAGACTTAGGATATTTATTCTAAACAAAATAATTCATCTCCTTCGTTCCATAATATCTTTATATTGGATAACAATTTACCAACAATTCTAATATATTTCTCCGCCGGTAAGAATTATTTTGATTCACTTTTGATTCACTT